CTCAAGATCAAAGTGCAACATACAGACAAGTGCATACCCTTCCAAACACCTGGTAACCACACCCTTGGCCAAATCATCCCATTATGCAGCCCTGCTGGGTAAAGCAAGCTCAGATTCTCTGACCTTGAGTAAGGTCTTACTAGGAAGCCTCTGTGGGCCTCCACAAGAAACCCTGTCTCAAAAAAACAAAACCAACCAAACAAACAAGAAAAGAAACAAACTGATTACAAATCAGGCAAATGAGCAAAACAGAGCTCAGTGGTAAAATACTTGCCTGGCATTCACAAAACCTGAAACTCAATTTTTGTTTTAAAATGTTTTTATTTTAAAAGAAGCTATATATTACTAAACATCAAGGAACTTGAAATACCAATGTGTTTAATTGTTTAAAAAATAATATCCAAAACTGATGTTAGAAGGGGCTAAAAATCAATAATAAAGCAGTAACAATTAGGACACACAATGGGCCATCATAGTCTTTCTACCCAAAGAAGATACAGTTTTCTACCAAAATGTTTAGTAAGTAGGCTCAGGCAATTCATGACTTAGTTAATCTGTCTGGTGAAGTTGGCATGGTGGTACAGGCCTGTTAATTCCTGAGTTGGCCAAAGCAGGTAACTACCAGTTTAAGCACTGCCTGGACTACACAGAACACTGTAAGAGACTGGTGTAAACTGGTCCCTATGCCATGAGAAAGCTGCTTCACCTGTGAATATGAAAGCAGAACTATTTAAAATACTAGAAAATTAAGTCAGCACTCTATCAGAAAAACAATTTTTTTCATCAACTTTTAGACATCATTATCAGCATTGGCAATTATTTTTTATATTACAGGGACAAAAGATTTTTTTGAAAGAGGGTCTCCTCTCTACAAAGCCCTGGCTGTCTTAGAACTCACTATGTAGACCAGGCTGGCCTCAAACCCAGAGATCCACCTGCCTCTTCCTCACTAGCACTGGGTATTAGGACTAAAGTGGGCACCCCAAATTGCAGTGCTGTTGACAATGTCCTAAATGGTAATCTGGGCTCACCTCTGGACTCTGACCCAGTAAACAGAGAACTCAGCATTCCTCAGAAATCTTATAAAGCAGGATTCTGTTTGTCGGGACAAGCCATTAATTCCCTTTTCTGCTCCCTACTACATCTGGCAATGGGGAATCTAATTCCTGATTAACACAAACAAGCCTGCAACAGATCAAAGTCCCCACACTAGTTCCCAGACTGTTCTGACCCACATACCACCACCACCACACATCACACACACATCACACACACATATCTCTCACACACACACACACACACACACACACACACACACACACACACACACACACACACCTGACAAAACATGTCTCCTTAAAACTAGTGAGGCTTTCTCCACCTCTTGCTGTTCTTGGCAACTGAGAGATAGCCTTGGCAATGTAATCCCCAATAACCCTTTGTTTCTACCCACAGAATGGTCTAATGTGGTGGGTTCACTGCACCCTCACTTGCACTGGGGTTAAAGGCATGTCCACCAAACCCATTATTATATATTTATTTTTTAACTTTCATGGCAAGTAATGCTTTTTCACTTTCTATGCTCACATAAATACATATATTTATGTGATTATTCTCAGAAAACTAGTACAGAGTACAGAGGGGGGGGGCAAAGGTAAAAGCACAAGATTTAGGGAAACTGAAATAAGTGCTATATCAAAATGGCTTTTTACTCAAAATATGAGTATAGCTTCTTATTAGGAAATACGTTCTTACTACAATAACAAACTAAAGCCAAGCATGGGAGCAGAAGAAAGGTGAGAAGATCAAACTCACCCTTGTTTCACACAGTGAAGCCAGCCTGGGCTATAGAAAATACTGTAAAAAACAAAGGAATGTTCTAGTTTTCTTTCTATTCCTGTGATAAAAACCATGATGAAAGGCATCTTGGAAAGAAAAGGGTTTATTTCAGCTTACATTTTAGAGTATAGCCCGTTGTGAAGGGAAGTCAGGGCAGGAACTGAAGCAGAAGCCATGAAGGAGGGCTGCTTGCTGGCTTAGCCCTTATTGCTTGCTCAGCCTGCTTTCTTACAGAACCCAGGACTGCTTGCTCTGGAGTGGCACCACCCACCGAGGGCTAGCCTCTCCCTCATCAATCATCAATCAGGAAGCTGCCTACAAGCCATTCTGGTGGGGCATTTTCTCAGTTTTAGTTCCTCCTTTCGCCTTCCAGTTGACAAAAATCCCTAACCAGCACAGAGGGGAGATCATATGATCATCCCAGCATACCAAAGGAAGAGGGGCAAGCAGCACTCGTTAAAGAGCAGTAATCATTCTTGATGGAAACCTCAGAAGGCAAGAAACAGGGGAATCTCTCATGTCGATGAACACAGTCTTTAAAAACCTACAGCAAAAAGAAGCACAGCAGACAAGTCCACACTGAGTGAGAAAGAAGACAGCACGCACCTGCACGTGTGCCGTCCACCTGCACCAGTTCAGTTCAACAAGACAAGCGGGCGGGCCAGGGAGCTACAGCTGATTAAACAAAAGGGAACATCTGATGGGACAGGATGCGATGAGGTTCTATGCATGGGATATATGTTCAAGAAAATCAAGTGCAAAACACAAAACTAGTAAAATTAATTAAGCAAAGGAGCTAGATATATAATCAATGTAGAAAAATTACTCGCATTCAGTAATTAGTGATTTAGAGCAGTAATGTTTATATTAGAATATGTGATAAAGAAAAATACCCCACCCCCAACAGCAACAATAATTATATGCAAATGTCTAAAAATATAAAATGTTATTGAGAAGTTTTAAGAACTGAATAAGTAGAGGGGAAATAGGAAGATTGTGTTGTGTGACAATGTCAATTCTGAAGATACCCAAATACAACCTGAGTATAAATCATAAAATGAAATCTGATAAATGATTCTAGAGTTCTAGAAGAAGACACTAAAAAAAAAAAATGAAGACTTGCCCAGCAAGATATCATAATAAGTATATCCTGAGGATAAAGTGGTTAAGTATAGTGCTGACTGATTGGTAGACAGTGAATTAGTAACACCAACTAGAGGGCCCAAATTAAGCTAGAAATTAATAAACTGCAGTTCAAATTAGGGGAGAAAGGGAGACATATTTAAACAACGATGTCAGGATAACAAGAAAAAAACATAAAATCACAAGTCTACCTCATATCATATATAAGAATTCCCTGCAACTATACTAAAAAGCTACCTCTAAAACAACACTATAAAGTAATACATAGAAGCTTTTTCCTTGTAGTTTTAAATTGGGATTATTGTCATTTTTCTTTCCAGTGCTGGATGTTTCACTTGCCAGGTTTATATTTTCCCTTCTGATAACAAAAACCGAATTTCTCTTATTGATATCTTTTCCTTTGTTATACGAAGTCTTCACAGAACTGTCCATCAAGGTTCTTCCCTTTCTCGGGCTATAGAGGTGGGATCAGGGCACCAGTGAGACTCTTACCGGTCTTCAGACTTGAAGAGGATAATGCAAGGAAGGAAGAGGGGTTATTTACTGCAAGAGACTTAAACAGGATCTGTTTCCCATCCTTTTCCAAAGTCAGAAGACCTGAATTTTTCCTTTATCTCAACAGGCTAACATCCCATGTTCTTCCAATAAACTCCGTGTTGAGGCTAGGATTAGTAAGTCTCATGACACAGAACCCTGGCAGAATTTGGCTGAGTATGGTATTTTTAAAAAAGAAAAGAACACACAACAAGAATTATAAAAGACACGGTAAAAAGATAAGCAACCATGAGAAAATACTAACACATAAAAAGTGTAAGAACAATATATTAAAAACTCCATGGATTGGGGATATAGCTCGTTGTAGTGCTTGCCTAACATGCACAAAGCCCTGGGTTTGATCCCTAGCACCACATAAACCAGGTGTGGTGATACATGCCAACACTGGGAAGTAGAGGCAGGAAGATCAAAACTTCAAGATCATCCTTTACTGCATGAGACCCTGACTCAAAACAAACAAGACTCATGTAAACTAATAACCCAATAGAAATTTGGACAATGTATGTGTGCAGTTAATCAAGAGAGGAAGAAATATCGATGTGCATGTGAAAAACAGTTAACATTCATTAACAAAAAGAAACCTAAGTTAAATATCCAGGAAGTAACATTTTTTTCATGCAGGAGAATAAAAAATTTTTTTATTTTTAATTTTTTTTGTTTTTTGTTTGTTTGTTTGTTTGTTTGTTTTCGAGACAGGGTTTCTCTGTGTAGCTTTGCGCCTTTCATGGAACTCACTTGGTAGCCCAGGCTGGCCTTGAACTCACAGAGATCCACCTGCCTCTGCCTCCCGAGTGCTGGGATTAGGGCTGGAGAGATGGCTCAGCTGTTAAAGGCTAGGCTCACAACCAAAAATAAAAAATATTTTAAAAAGTATAAAGGATGGCCAGTTCCTAAATACTTAGTCAAACTTAATGATGTATTTGCAAAGGACATTTCATATCAACAACTTAACATATCAACAACTTAAATTGGAATTTGCTTTTGGAATTTTTGTTTTTGAGAGTTTATTTTATGGAAAAACATATGTTTAAAGGAATATAAATATAAATAGTACCTATAATAATAAATAGAAATAGTATAAATATTGAAAAGAGAAAAGATAAGTAAATTATTATATATTCCTAAGAAAAACACAGCCACAATAAAAAGCAAGGTAGATCTGTATGCAATAATGTGCAACAATTTCCAGTACATACAATTAAGTGGCAAAGTCACAGAACACACTTAATATATTACTTTTAAATATCATCTATTAAGATACCAAGCTACAAACATAACAGAGATCTATTTATAATAAAGGTAAAGAAAGGCAGAGTAAAGGATATAGAAAATATACAGCTGGCCTGTAACTCACAATGCTCCTGCCTCAGCCTCCTGATTGCTGGCAATACAGGCATGTATCACCAGGCCACCCAAATCTGTTTTCTTTCCAACTAAGTAAGAGACAGAAAACATACTCCAACCTTTTGTCTTTGGATTCACTGTCAGTTTTATACTGGTCAAACTCCTGGCTAAGAGACTGAAGCTTTTCTTGAAGTCTCTTTTCTCGGTCTACACTTCCTTGATAAAATTTCATTTCTTTTTCCATTGCTTTCAGTTTTTCTTCCATAGCCTTAAATTCATGAAGAATTAGATAGCTGACGCCACAGTATTTACAAACTGTTTCTTCAGGAGACATCTGGAAACAGAACATATATTTATTGGAATGTTAGGTTTTTAACTGTGAAAACTGAAGTTCAAACGAAGATGTTATGCAACCATGCTGGTGAGACAGAGTAAATACACAGTCAGCTATGCTGCTGGAATAGTCATTATGACACTGCCTACACCTGGATAAAACTTCTAAACTCAACACAAATCTTGGGAAGAGAAAAGATTTTTTCAAAGAAATGATTTCTCTGTGGTATCAGTAAGAAATAGTTACTCTTGAAATATCTTTCACAAAACAAAACTAAAAATGCTAAAAATATCCTTACAACTTTAGTTCTCAGATGAGTTTACTATACTGTCAGAAGAAACCCATGGCTTTCACTGCCAGCTACGCTATGGCCCTCTAGATCAGTGATTCTGAACCTGTGGGTCATGACCCCTTTGGGGTCAAATGACCCTTTCATAGGGGTTGCATATCAGATATCCTGCATATTAGATATTTATATTACTATTTATAACAGTAACAAAATTTTGGCTATGAAGCAGTGCTGTGGAATAATGAATGCTGTGGAATAATGTTTTTCTACACGGTTTTTAAAAATGCTGATTGGCCAGTAGCCAGGCAGGAAGTATAGGTGGGATAAGCAGACAAGGAGAATTCTAAAGAGAAAGGCTGAGTCAGGAGACGCCAGCCCACCATCCAGAGAGGAGCATGTAATGGCACACAGGTAAAGCCATGGAACACGTGGCAACATATAGATGAACAGAAATGGGCTGAGTTTAAGTGTAAGAGCTAGTCAGTGGTAGGCCTGAGCTAATGGCGGAACAGTTTTAATTAATATAAGCCTCTGTGTATTTACTTGGGTCTGAGCGGCTGCAGACCAGGCAGGACATATAAAAACTTTTAGCTACATTTGGCACTCAAGGTGAGGCATTAAGCCATACAGACCTAAAAAAGTTTAAAGATTCTAAATACACAGAAACAGAGCCATACTGGGCTTCCTAGTCGCACAGTCTAATGAAACAACAGCACAAACTCATCTCCTGACAGCTGCCTGTGAGATGGAGTTGGCCGCCTGCCTCCATGAGCTAAGTGGCATGGCTACGGATTCTCGCCACAGTACACAGAGGCTTCTCCAAGCTGCACAGTGTGGTGCATGATAGATTTAGCCTTTCCTAGTACAGACAAAAAAAAAGTTTCTGGGCTACATGCTGCTTTAATGGAGGCATAGATCCACTGATTCCGAGAGTTGGTGGTACACATGGCTCCCAGAGCCAGAGCTGGCAGTAAATGTATCACCACCATGTTGGAAGGCTGAGGTGGGCAGAGCCAGCAGCCAAAGTTGTCATTTCAGTCCTAGTAATGCTGCAGTTTAAAGCAATAGATTCATAATAAGGCAGATTCAGATCAGATAAACCCTAAACAGTTTACATGTGTGTAAAAATGTACTCAGGCTTGACAGAGAGAAGAAAATTAATATAGACAGTTAGATAAAGAAATAGTTTTAAAAAAATAAAGTCTTTAAAGAGACCGTAAAGGTAGTATAAAAAATAAGCCATGTAAAGATGGATATTACACAGAAAATCTGGATTGTGTTGTCTTGATATTTTTAACTGCAGAAAGATATTTGACTGTAAAAGCTTCTAAATTAAGCCTATATATATATATGCCTATATATAAATTAAAGCATACACACACACACACACACACACACACACACACACACACATATCTTGACTTCAAAATTTGGATCTAAGGATATGTTGCTTTGGAAAGGAGGCTCTGCTTCTATTTCCACAGGAAGCAAGAGGCTATAGATTTGCTCCAGATTAAGATACATCAGGTTTGACCACCTAAGACCCCCTGAAAGGTCCCCAATCACACCATGGCCCAGATGATCCAACATCCAGAATGGTTTCAAGGCAACTGGCTCAGACAATGGAGCCTCACAGTCTACTCCAGTCAGGACTTGACCATAATCCTTAATTTTCACAGGATCCCCATTAGATTGCCAGCGCCCTTATCCGGCAGGAAGTAGTATGAGAAGCTATGCCCAAATTCCTAAAATATTGTTTATGAATGTTTAATTTTATTTAAAGCAGGTTGATTATAAATGCAATTTCTTTCTAAAAAATAAAAGGGGATAGTATAGATATGATAAGATGAAAGGGTAGATTAATGAACCTACTTTTAAAGAGCAACAACTTGTTTAAAACTGTTTTATATTGCTATGGATTTTAGTTTATTGATACAAATTTAGAGTTGATTTGGTTATACTATATATATATATATATATATATATATATTTCTACTCTTGTTTAAGGTATTATGTTTATGTAATTCATTTAAACTGTAATAGATAATTAAGAAATATAGATTTATAATAATCAAACTTATAGTCATGTTAGGTTTTCTAGGCATAAATAGACATATTTCAATTAGGTAGGTAATCTTCAAACACTTCAAAGACCTATAGAATATGGCATTTAAAATGTTTTAAAAACTTAGACTTTTCTGGACATCGAGACACATCTGTTCCTAGCAACACCCATTTACTTCAGAGAGAAAGATAAGCATCGAAGACACTCCATATGGAGTCCACCTTCTTCTTCTTGACAAAAATAGCCATTTGGGCAAGAAACTGTTCTTGCCTGAACTACCTGACAAAATGTTATATCAACTGGACATGCAGGACCCATATAAAGGTGACCACTGAACTTTGCAAGGCAAAATGGTCCTTCAGGTTTCTGCTTCACAGAAGAAACTGCCAGACACAGAGGGAAAAAAATGACTGAGAGACTAGACCTATGGAATGAATATGGATGCCCCAATGTTAGAGGAACATTGGATAACTGTCCAGGCAGACAGCTGTCTCTGTCATTCTAGATTTTTAGAAGTTGCTTACAATGCTCTTCCTGTTTACTTAGGTAATATTGTATCCTTCTGAGATCTTTGATGTAGTTGAAGACTAGATAGTTATAATTTTCCTTGGTTATAATAAAAGAAAAATAAATTAGATATAAAACTTTAGACTCAAAAATATAGGATAGAATATTTTCTTTAGTTTTGCCAAGTACAAATAGATCAGACATTATAAATGTAATTCTTGCTTGATAACCATTTGTTATATGTAATTTTACTGTTTTAAAGTTAAAACCTTCCTTTTTAATTAAACAGAAAAGGGGGAATGCTGTGGAATAATGCTTTTGTGCACTGGTTTAATAAAATGCTGATTGGCCAGTAGCCAGGCAGGAAGTATAGGTGGGATAAGCAGACAAGGAGAATTCTGGGAAGAGGAAGGTAGAGTCAGGAGATGCCAGCCCTCCATCTAGGGAGCAGCATGTAATGGCACACAGGTAAAGACATAGAACATGTGGCAACATATAAATTAACAGAAATGGTCTAAGTTTAAATGTAAGACCTAGTCAATGGAAGGCCTGAGCTAATGGCGGGGCAGATTTAATTAATATAAGCCTCTGTGTATTTACTTAGGTCGAAGCAGCTGTGGACCAGGCAGGACACAAAAAAACTTTTGGTTACAAAGTAGCAATAAGTTTATGGTTGGCATCACCACAACATGGAAGAATTGTACTAAAGGGTCACAGCATTGAAAAAGTTGAGAACCACTATTCTAGAAACCTCTGAGTTTTTCAGATCCTACTTTACTCATTTATAAAATTATGGCACTGAACCAAATGAACTCTACACTCTTACTCAGCTTCAGCATTTTAGGATTTCTATAGAATTTAACATTCTATCCAAAGCTACAGTAGGAAAAGCATTTTGAACTTATTTTCTTCTTTGCTATACTCATTTTATAGAATAAAACTGAGACTCCTGAAGTTTCATAACCCACTAAAAGGTAAGGATGTTAAAATTAAACCCAAGTCTTTTTAAGAACCAATACTTATGTTTTTATGTACCATATTATACTTATCTATTATTGGCATATGAGTTCTTGTGTCCTTCAGATAAAGTGTGTGCCTCTCTGGTCTATACAAGGGCAGTGAAAAAACAAGCCAGGAAAAAGACACTTCTTTTTTGCTGTCTTAAGAAAAAATAGTCCTTGGATATCCTATGTTTGATTCACTTTCATAAAGGTAAGAGAGCTCCAGGGCACCAAAGTAAAATCAATTCTTAGATTGGTCAATAACAACTTAAAAAAACATGTCTCATCATGGCTTGGAATTCAGTAACTGGCCCAAAATGGCCTCCAACCCACCACCTTCTACTTTATTGTCTCCAATACTGGGATTACAGGCAACACCCCATACCTGGTCAAAGTGTTTCTTCTTAATGCAACCTCCCTTGAGACAGTAGAAAGTATCCCTGTAACTATGACACAGCACAGGGATGTAGAAGGTGTCCCTGTA